GCCAGCTTCTCAGGTTTCTTCCCATTGCTGCGCAGTTTCTCAGGGTAGACCTGGCTCCAGCTCCACAAGTTAAGAAGATCCAACCGTTGAATTACTTCTTCGTAGGCAAAAGAAACAAAAATACAAATTGTTACCCCTAGTTTAATAATAAACTTGTGAACCCATCCCACCGTATTCCTGAAAATATTCCTGTCAACCGCGTGCTTCATGGGGCTGGGCCCGGGGCTCCTTCCGCACCTGATGAGGTTTCCCATTGGGGGTCACCTTCGGAGCCGAATGGATGGAGTCGACACATTCGGCCTGCAGGGTCACCGCATACCTGGTGCGGCCGCCAGGGACCCCCAGGAAGGAACTCCTAGGTCGCTAGGTAGGCAGAATAAACCCAGAGGTATGGGATTATAACATATTATAAACCCATATAAACCCCAACAAAATAGAAAGTCGTGTTGGTTTCTTGGGGGGAGAGACTTAAGCCATTAGCCAGGTATGAATTTGCCAGAAGAACCATGAATTCTGGGCGCACTCCGACTGGACCACACATCGAGAGATTTCTTGGTGCACCTCACAGCAAAGTCAGAGAGAAGATTCGATGGATTCTTGGGCCAAACACGAAAAGTACCTGGTTTCCACATCAATAAAGGTGATAAATGGAGGTGAGCAAATCCTAAAGAAAGTGGTCGTTGGGTGCGAGGAAAACTCCCATGGTTGGATCAAACACAAAGATATACCCAAAATCGCATCGTGAGTCAGCACGAATTATAGAAAGAATCGCAGCAGTGTCTCGCCTGCTCTGCCAGGAGTTTCTCGCAAAATGAACAGAACAAGTCAGGCTTCACAAGCACGTTAAACCTCGGCCACACATGGCTTATGATCCCCCTTGCGGCATTGCGGTGGCTTTTTGCCCTTGGTAGCCCCAAGTTTTTCATGCAGGCCTTGTCAGCGCCCATACAGACTTGAGCCTGGCACTTGATTTCGTCAAGAAATTCGCTTTCCATTCGATTGAGCTCGACATTGCTAAGCACCTCAATCGACGCAGAGAAATCAGCGATTTCTCTCACGGAATCGTTGCAAAACTCGCGAAAAGTTTCTGACAGGAAAGAGCTTCGCGAGGGAGCTATTTCGAACAGGCTTGTCCTGAAGGTAGCTATGAAAACCGCCAGAACCACACCAGCAGGTCCGGAAGATGGATGATTTCCAGTGGTTCAAGGGACAAACAGAAAACATCCGGAAAAAAAAAATGATACGAAAGAATCTAGGGTTTTGCAGGGTTTCTCATAGATCGACCCACTGATTTTCGGACTTCCGTCTCGAACTCTCCTCCCACATCTTGTCAGCCAGCAACAGCGACCTCATCACAAGTTTCAAGACACAGATTCAGAAGCCTTTGGATTTCCTTCCAACCACCCTTTTCCAGCGCAGACACGTCAGAAACAGTGGACGCCACGTGCAGGCGTGAAGGGTGATTCGAGAGCTCTCTTTGAACCTCCGGAGGTACCCTCTGGAAATCAAACATGCTTAGTGGAAAATCTCCTTAAAAAAAGGGCATTTCAAGGCATTTCAATGGGAAGATCATCCATAAATAGGGAAATTGTCCAGCAAACCATGTTTGATTCCCAAAGGTCAATTTGTTGCTTTGGTCGGGATTTGTGTCATGTCAGAAACTGTGTAACTTGGGAGGCCTTTGGAGTCTGCTGCACAAATTGAATGTTTAACTTCCTTTGAGTGACACCTTATCCAGTGAAAGCACCCCTTCAGCTGTAATTCAAGAGCGTGGAACAAACTCATTGATTCTTGGGGTGGTTGGCGACTTACCCAGATTGATTGGGGAGATATCCAGAAGGTTCCATGTTTGTTTCTGCCTGCTCAAATAGATCACGCTCACAATGAAGGCAGAGACACTGAAAATGCCCTGCAAGAGCAGATGTTTGCGTCAATGCTGGAGGAACATTCTCAAAGTATTCCTGGACCCACAATCCGCCAACTGCCAAGCTGATCGAATTTTTTTTGTCCACGGAAGTCACGCTGGTAAGTTTGATCCTACGAAAATCACATCTGAAAAAAAAAAAAACTGGCCTGATGAAGGATACTCAAAATGAAGGAGCAGACGTGCAAGGCAGAGCAGTCATGCACCTCGAAAACACATGGCGACACTGGATGAAAATCCATCGGAGCCAGGCATGCCAAGGCACGGATTCAGGAAATATTCTGTTCAGCTCGGGTTTGTTGTGGTATGGGACCTGAATCAGTTGGACGTTTCACTGATAACAACTGCAGCCTGTTTTTTCTGCCAAGTTGAACAAACCCACCTCGAAGAACAGCCTGAACATTTCGTTCCCCTGACACAGTGATACACAAACAGATGCATATGTCAGGCAAAAAGATATTCAATGATATTCAGTTTTGTCATCTTAGAGCGCTTTGAAACCACTTGCCCGAAAGTTTGTAGTTCGTTGCCACATAACTTTAGCTGCACCGTCTGCACCTCCATTCTTTGCAAGACGTCCGCATCCGATCGAATGTGACCTCGAGAAAATGACTGGAGCTTTGGATGTGGTTCAAGCCTTGGAAACAGATTTTTTTTTCAACGTTCCCTGGCCATGAAATCCCATGTCCTTGAGAGGACCATCCCTAAATGGATTTGATTCATTTGATCATATTTTTTTCCACGTTCGTGCACGTTTCAATGCATTTCAATGGTCATTGAGTTCGAGACGGTGAAAAAAATGAATTGCGGCACAAAGAAGTTGAGTCTGGGACAGCGCTTCGTTGTCCGGAAATCTCCCCCAAAGTCAGTAGGAAACAAGGATGGGTCAAAACAGCTGATGTTCATCCACTGGAAAACATGTTGTCTTCAAAATTGCCCTCATTCTCTGTCGTCAAACGGAGGTTTAAAGTATACCTCTGGAAAAATCAATGAACTCTGCTTTGCAACTCAACAGCACGTTCCAGGCTTCCGGTTTCATGGCACAAAAAGCAGAGCACCAGCCCCAGACTCAGAAACTGAAACCCAACAGTCACTGGTTGGGACCCATGGATTGCCTGCAGCGCACTGAACCGCTGTGCTGTCGTCTCTTCTGCTTTCACGAAACTGCTGGAACCTCAACGGTCCAGCTTGAATTTGATGAAACAATTTCATACAATTTCCACAATTGCACGTGGGTAGCTAGCCAGCTGAAAATGAACTGATGGTCCCAAATTGTTTGCTATGTAATCGTAAGATCTGGACACTCGAAACTCACATGAATCTTGGTTCGCGGCTACCACCAAAAGTATTGTTGTCCACGTCCTCGTCCGTCATCTTGCCTTCTTCCTGTTTCCGCAAATTTGAACTAAATCAACGAACAATTTTTTCCATAAATGGGGGTACCCCCCAAATCATCCATTTTAATGGGATTTTCCATTATAAACCATCGATTTGGGGGTACCTCCATTTATGGAAACCCCCATTTATTGTTTATTTTTCTCCCAATTGTGCACCTCTTGCGGCTACACAAGATGCATCGTGGAAGGATGAACACATAGAAGTGAGTTTGTCGGCTTGTCGCATAGGTTTTGAAATTTTTCGTCATGTTCACTCCAAAGCGTCTAGAAAAACGAGGTTCGTATGAGGCCATGCTGGACTTGCTAAGATTGGTGCAATGTGAAATCTGGTATACATGTTTCCCATCATTTTGTTGGTGCAGATTGTTGTTTCTGTCATGCAAGATATGTGATATGTGTCTTTTATGCGTTGCACAATTCATTGTTGAGCCAACCACCGTGCATGTCCTGGTCGCTGGGCAGCAGTGTCTGCATTCAAAAGAACACCTTCTTGCAACATGATGCAAGTACACTGACACTTGCACTTTGCAATACGAGACCTATTTTTCTGAATTTGCACAATTTTCAGTGGGTGGCTGGCAAGTGCGCGCACTTTGGCTCGCAACTGCCGAATTTCATTGCATCATACTTGAGGGGGGGAACACGAAAGGTAGGTGATCAAGAAGGGGAAGCAAAGTTTCTCTGTGTAAAAGTTGGTTGTGTGTGATTTTTTTCCTGTGTAAAGGCATCTGTGTGTAAAAGCGTCTGTGTAAAAACTGCCGTCCATGAAGACTTCTGTGCGTAAAAGTTTCTGTGCGGAAATGTTTCTGTGTGTAAAAGTTGCTCTGGGTAAAGTTTTTGGGTGTCAAAGTTACGGTGTGCAAAAAAAAACGCGCACTCTGTGTGGACAAGTTTTTTATGTCAATTTTTTCCTGTGTAGTTTGTTTTGTGTAAAAGTTGTTTTGCACAAAGTTTTCACGGTGATTGTGTGTAAAAGCACCTGTGTGCCTTTATTGATGCGTGCAACGCAAAAGCATCTTTCTGCAAAGCATCGGTGTGTAAAAATTTTTGCGTGTAATTTTACTTTGCGTAAAAACCTCTGTGTGTAAAGGAGTCTGCGTGTAAAAATTTATCTGTGCACAAATTTCTTTGTGTAAGAGTATCTGCGCAAAACAATTGTTCTATGTAAAGGTTTCTGTGCGTAACGTCGTCTGTTTGCAGAAACGTATCGGTGCGAAATGCGCCACCACGGTAAAGTCGCAAAAAACAATGAAACAAAAGAATCCAAACTCAAATGTTTGCTGTTGTTACGTTGTTGATGATGGCGGTGATGCGCGCAGGGCCCCACAAGGCGTCATTTTGGCCGTGTTGAGCCAATTTTGTAAAAACCTTCGGGATAAAAAACACAACAATTTTCCATGTGTTTGGCGCCTGACAAGCCAAAAACCACGGTACTGTTACTGCTGTTGTTGCTGTTGTTGCTGCTGTTGCTGTTGTTGCTGTTGTTGCTGTCGTTGCTGTTGTTTTTGTTGTTGTTGTTGTTTTTTTGTTTTTGTTTTTGCCGTTGGTGTTGTTGTGGTTGCTGTTGTTGTTGTTGTTGTTGTTGCAGTTGTAGTTGTAGTAGCAGTTGCAGCAGCAGCAGCAGCAACAGCAGGAGGAGTAGTAGTAGTAGTAGTGGTAGTAGGAATAGTAGTAGTAGT